CCGCACCTTCCGGGGCCTGCGCGGGCGGGCGGGCGGGCGGGCGGCGCGCGCCATCTGCTCCGGGAGGGAGGGCGGGTCCCTGGCCGCCGCCGCGGCGCCGCCCCGCACTCCGGACTCCCGTCCGAGGCCGCGATCCCCCTCCCCCCGCGATGTTCCCTGGGGCGAAATGAAAGTTTTTCCCGAGTTGGGGCCCGGTTGGACCGCCCTGTGGCCGCCCGAGTGCCGGGAGCGCGCGGCCCGCTCGCCCTGCCGCCGGTCGCCTGCGGGGCTGGCCGAGGGGCGGGAGCGAGCGGCCTGCTGCTGGAGCGAGTTGCGACCGCGTTTGAAAGTGCTGGGTTGCGCGCCGCTTTGCGGGAGGCTTTCGGGGGTCGGCCCGGTGTCCCCCCCCACCCCAAACTGACGGAGCACCTGAGTACGGTTGGGGGTGGCGACAAGGTGCGGGGAGTCACCGCAGGGAATGTTCTCGGAGCCGCGACGCTCCGCCTTCCCCGGTGAAAAGCCCTTTTTGTGGTGGGTGCGTGGCGGCTGTTGAGAATGGCCCCGGAGCCGGCTGACCCTGCATGGGTCTTGTGTCCTACGTGCGCACCGAAACCAGTGTTTCCCTTCCGACTCAGTCCGAGGAACGCTTCGGTGTTGGGCATCCCGCCCCTGCTTGGGGCGAGGTGTCCCCTGAGCTGCAGACGCCGGGGGCCCCCCTCCCTGCCTTGGCCTCGGGGTAGTCAGGTTTAGAGAGCAAGGAAAGATTAAGTAGCTGATCTTTGCAATCACTTAGAATGTGTTTGTTTAGAGCCACAGCTGTGGTTTCTTTTCAGAGTGGGCAATCTGTAGCAAAAATGTAGATGTTGGAGCTCCTGATAGGCCCACAGGGACAAACCGATAAGGCGAATGCCAAGAGGTGGACTATAGACGGGCTTTTATCTCTTAGCCAGTTTCCAATGTTCTTGGCACAGAATCTTAAAACTCCTCTTTCCACCTTAAGAAAACTGTTGTTTCTTGACCCCCAACTTACCTTATCTTGTTTCTAGTCTAAATCCTGCAGTGTTTTGCGACTCGGCAATAAAAGTTGCAGCCTGCTTTGTTTTGGTCAGTTCCCTCTGCAGGAGTCTCCCTGACTGACTCTTTGTTCCCCTCACCAGGAGTACTCCCCCACTTGTAAGAGGCGCCGGACTGTGGAAGACTTCAACAAATTCTGCACCTTCGTCCTGGCCTATGCGGGCTACATCCCCTATCCAAAGGAGGTAATGATTACGGGTTTGGAGGGCATGCCCGCACCGTGGGTTCCTGATGCATGTGTCGCAGCAGTGGTGGTCTGGAAGAACTTGGTGCCAGCTTTGGGCAGGCGTTGGACATGAGGGCAGGAGTCACTTTCTTTGGGACTTAGATCAGCCCAGGCAGGGATGGGATTTCCAAAGCTTTAGTAAACTTATCTAGAAATGATTTAAAATCTTTTTTTATTCTTTTGGTTTATTTAACAAACTTAATGTTTATTTCCAGTCACTCTTGTGATCCCTCCAACTCAGAAGGATGAGGGAGATTTGTTTGAGGCCGGTCTGGGCTACACAGTGAAATCCAAACCAGCATGGCCTAAGAATGAGGAGAAAAGAGTAACCGAACAACAAACAAACAGAAAGCAAAGTGTGTTTGCAAACACCTTGCTTGGGTTTGCCCGCTTTTTTTTTTTTAAAGGGCCAGTATTTGACCAGACTGATTGCCTTTAGAAAGAATGGGCTAAGCACTGTTCTTTCTCCCTCTGCTTTGACGAGGAGGACACCTTGGCCACAGAAGTGGATACTTTTTTTTTTTTGCCATAGAATCCAGGTCTTGCCTTTCTGTTGGGGGATACTGAAACTGGGCCCTGTGAGATTCTTACCCATGTCCTGAACTCCGTGTCCACGAAAGTCTTTTCCTTTCCCAGGAAGGGGCAGAAGGGAGGGATGTCGGTTGCTGTGTGCATCAGGCAAAGCTACAAACAGAATCTGGAGTTTGGGGAAGTGAGAGCTCAGCATGGGCTTAGTGTCCTTGCTATGCAGTGTGTCCTTTGTACCACACAGAGCACGGCCACTCTGGGCAGAGCACTGAATGTGCAGTCAGCACTGAGCCTGCTCTTGGGGGCACTAATTATCTACTTAGAGTTTTGTAATATTTTGGAATGTCTCCAGTTTTTGTGTTTTTTTTTTCTTCTTCTTTCTTCACCCTGAGACAGGGTTTCTCTGTTCTGTAGTCCAGGCAGGCTGGCCTTGAACTCACATCTGCTTGTCTTCCCTTAAAGGCAGGTCCCATTTTGCCCAGCTGTTTTTTTTTTGTTGTTGTTTTTTTTTTAAAGAAGGTCAAAAGTTTGAAATAACGTAAATTGACTTGATTAAAAAGTATTTGTTGGGAGAACAAACGGAGGGCATTCTTCCTGAGAGAAGAGTACAGAAGGGTTAAACTCTGGAGGTGTCTGGTGTGGTCTGTAGGGTTTGGGAAGATGGAGGTAAACTCAGAGCCCTCTTCCCTGCATGCTGGGCTGTACCTAGTTGCAGCCTGGTCTCAACCCCCATATGTAACTGTGAGTTAGTTCTGCTCTGGGGCAGGGAGTGCGCTTCAGTGAGGTGATCTACTGTCCCGTTGATAATGCTAGAGAGGTGGTGTTTGCTCAGTGCAGGAAGGCGGATCTGGGGGCGCTCCTGGTTTCTGGCTGGCTGCATTACCAACCATGCCGTGTTGTTCTTGTCTTCCAGGAACTCCCCCTGAGGGGCAGCCCCAGCCCGGCCAACAGCACCGCGGGGACCGTTGACAGTGACGGCTGGGACGCTGGTTTCTCTGATATCACATCTTCAGTGCCCGACCGATGCTTCAGCCACCTGCAGCCTTCCCTCTTGCAGAGAGCTAAGCCTAGTGACTTCCTGCTGGACAGGAAGAAAACTGACAAGCTGAAGAAGAAGAAGAAGAGGAAGCGCAGGGACAGTGACATGCCTGTGAAGGAGGGGTTCAGGGGGAGCCTGCTGAAGCTGGAAGGTGCAGACCCATATGTGGAGACCCCCTCAAGTCCCACCATGCAGGATATCCCCCAAGCGTCTGCTGACCCCTGCTCAGGCTGGGATTCTGACACTCCCTCAAGTGGCTCTTGTGCTACTGTGTCACCTGATCAGGTCACAGAAATAAAAACTGAAGGAAAACGGACTATTGTCCGCCAGGGAAAGCAGGTGGTGTTCCGAGACGAAGACAGCACTGGCAATGATGAAGACATCATGGTGGACTCAGGTGAGTGGTCTGAGCAGAGATGGCAGGCCCCTGGGGTGGGACCAGAGTGCACTTAGGATTTGATAGAGAAAGTGTGCAAGGAAGGGCGCATGCATGCTCATAAAAGAGTTGTTGGCTCCCGGAGACGGCCAGGTTGCCCTGCAAGCCTGTTGCGTAAGTGATGGCTGGAGCCATGACTTGGTCACACTTAGCCACCGTGTCTCGTGGATGTACAGGTCCCCAGGGGAGAAGGGCTCAGGAGGTCCCCACCTCTCACCTGTTCGTCTTCCTTGCAGATGATGACTCCTGGGATCTTGTCACCTGTTTCTGCATGAAGCCCTTTGCCGGCCGCCCCATGATCGAGTGTAACGAATGCCACACCTGGATCCACCTGTCCTGCGCCAAGATCCGCAAGTCCAACGTTCCTGAAGTGTTTGTCTGCCAGAAGTGCCGGGACTCCAAGTTCGATATCCGTCGTTCCAACCGGTCCCGAATGGGCTCCCGGAAGCTGTTTCTGGACTGATGGAGAGCTGTCGAGGAGATAGGCGGGACTGGAAGGGCCTGGGCTCTGGCCTCCCTTAGTTGAGCACAGAACTCCCAGCTCTGGTGTGGGCAGACCCTGCCACTCAGGTGCCTAAGCAAAGGACAAGCCGTCCGATAAAACTGTACATAGCTCGTGAGCAGATAAAACGGTCAGAGCTGCTGCTCCAGCTGTGTCCTCTGCATAGGAGGCAGACTGAGCACCAGGTCTGCTTCTGTTAACAGCGAGGGCGCACAGTCAGTGTTAGCCAGTTCCTGCCATTGGGAGCCGGTGCTAGCCGTCAGTCCTGTCTCCTCTGTGCTCGGGAGTGGAAGTGTTGTGTTTCCCTGGCTGTGTTTATTCTCAGTGTTGCTCTTTTATCACAAGTGTCTATACAGCAGCCGTCCAAGTTGCCCGCCCCTTTGTGGTCTCACTTCCCTGCCTCAGTTGTACTTACTGAGTCAGGGAGCTGTTTTCTGAGAGGTCTGGTGTCCCCAAGAGGAGCCCTGGGTGGGGGGTGAGCAGTGGTTCTTCGGTTTTCACTGTTTAAAGGGACTGTGTGTAGCTACTCTTCCACAGAGCAAGGGTTGGGGTGGAGGTGTTCTGTGTTCATAACTCAGTTTCTTGCTTTGCACGATGTAAAAAACAAAAAGCATTTTTTTCACATGATACAGCCCAGAGTATTGACCACTGTCCTACTGGGTTCCCCACCTCTGCTGGTGGTCGGTCCCCAGGGTGCCCAGCACTGCAGTGGGAGCACGTTGCTGTTCAGATAATGGTGAAAAGACTCAGAGCACTCTGCCTTCCGTCCAGGCTGGCCTGCTGGGTCTGTGTCAGTGCTGTAAGGGCAGCTTGCAGAGTTTAAAGGTGTGAACCAGAGCCCTGGTCTGGGAGGGATGGCTCGGCTCCTGGACACTGGTGGTCCTGGGGTGGGGGAGGAGGAGGGCGTTGGCTCTCACTCTAGCATTTGCACTGTTCTTTCTGGGCAGTGGTTGCCAGAGCAGTGGGTGTGTCTCATACCCATGTATCACACATGGTCTTCATTAGGCATGAAACAGCAGGGGCCAGGTGTGTAACCGTTCTTCCCCTCCTGGAGCACCGTGGCAGGGTCCCTAGCATTCTCCCATGTCATCCTAAGCACCACAGGAGCCTAGACTGGAGACTGTAATTTGGCTAATCAGAGCTTTTTTTTCTTTCCTTTTTTTTCTTTTTCTTCTTGGTCTTAGCATCTTTCCCACTTACCCCAGTTTAACTTTTTTTTTTTTTAAACTCGTGTTGCTCATATTCAAGTACAGAGAAGTACTGCTGAGCTCTGGTTGTGCAGACCTCAAGGGAGAGCTCTGCTAAAGAGAAGCTACACAGAAAACAGTCTTGTCCCCAGGCTATTGTGTGGCTCTGACTAGGGCAAGAACCCGGACAAGTTAGAGGAATTTGCCAAAGACCTGCCCCATGACAGTTCTTGTCTAGTGTCTTCACCCTGAGAATAACCAAAGTTCCAGTAGCTTTTTTTTTTTTAAGTGCATTTAAGATTCTGTGTGGTTTTGTTGTGGAACTGTGGAGCTGGCCATTATTACATGTGCTCAGAGATTCAATACCTCTGGACTACATTTGACATCTCAGTTTCTGTTTGCTTGCTTTATGTTTTAAGGGGATCTTTGTGTGTGGGTGGTGTCAGAAGTCAGGCACCTTGGTTTGGGGGAAGGTTGAGCTGGGCAGCTGCATTCAGCTTGTTTATGCAAACTGGGCATGACCCTCTAGGGCTCCTGGTTGATGGCTGACGATGGGAGGGAAAGGGGTCGTTCCCAAGTGGACCCTTCCCGTTGGCTTTGGCCAGGCCAGACACAACATCGTTTACATGTTCTGTGTAATTATAAAGTTTATGTGTATAAAGCAAGCTGTTTCTGTGAAACTGTATATTTTGTAAATAAAGATATTGCTACTTTGAGGTCCGTGACTCCTTAAGTGTGTCCTGTGCTAAAGAATGCTGCGGGTCTTCTCCATCACTTGACAGATGGTGGATCTGACAGAGCCGAGCTGATGATGGCATTTAGCACAATGAAAAGGGACCATGACCCCTGATCACTTCTCCAGTTAGCTCTTAGACCCAGGGTGCAGTTTTGAAAGGCTCCCCTAGTCCTCAATGCCCGTGTTACTTGGCTATCGGGTATGCGGTCCCCCTCCACCCCCCCACCCCCCGCACTTGCTGGAGCCTTAAAAGCCACAGCCTTTAGGCCCTTCGAAGTTTGGGACTGGCCTAGCGACACAGGCCTTTAATCCCAGCACTTGTCCAACAGGCAGGTAGATCAGAGCTTGAGGTGAGTCCAGTGCTAGGCATCTTCTGTCCAGTGGTCAACTGGGTACCTCCAGTGGGATCCAAACCTTGTCTGGGAGGCTGAGATGTCGTGTGAGTTCAAGGCCAGTCGGGCTCTGGTACCTCGATACTCTCGGCCCGGGAAGCTATAAACTAGTAGCTGAGTTAAGAGTCGACGCTTTATCAGTCCAGGTTTTCAAGGTTGTTACTTGGGCACAAGTTCTAGGAGGTATTCCTCTGCCGTAACTCTTGAGGGAGCAGAGCAAGTCCAGCTCCCAGCACCCGGAGCCTGCAGGCCCCGCCCCCAGCCCCGCCCCCGAGGCCGCGGAGCCGCCATCTTTTTGAGGGGCAGTGGGCCCGTCTCCGAGATGCCGAAGTCTTGCGCGGCCCGGCAATGCTGCAACCGCTACAGCAGCCGCAGAAAGCAGCTCACCTTCCACCGGTGAGGGATGGGAAGCCGGGACCCGACCCTACGGAACGCTCGCGGGCCTCGGTGCACCGAGTGGGAGATCCGGGAGGCCCACCAGGGTTTGCGGGCGAGGTGGACCGGGACTGCGCGGCGGGGACGGGCCGGGCGTCCGTGGTGCTCCCGCGCGCGGCTTCAGCCTGAGCCCCGCCGCCCCCTCCCCGCCTGGAAGCAGGGGGTGCTCAGTGCGAGCGAGATGAGCGTGAGTGGCGTCTGACCGTGTCCCTGCTCCGGCCCCTCGCGCCTGCGTCACTTCGCGGGAGGCCTGGAGGGATGAGTGCACCCAGGATGGCCCGGCCTCGTGGCAGAGACTTCTGTTGTGGGGAGGTGGTGGATCCCCTGTGCTGCAGCCCCGGGACCTCTTCTCCCAGCACGACTCTTGCTGAGCCGTGTCCAGGGAAGCACCCTTCTGGGCTCAGGCTTCGAGCGATGTCTGTGCCTTCAGGGCTCAGTTCCCCACGTCCTGGCAGCCCGCACACTGCGTGCTCGCCCTCTCCGCCCCCAGTACACTGATTTAATGCTTCTACTGAAAAGTAGCAACCGCAGGAAAATGCTCACCTCAGTTAGTGGCCCACAGAAGACTGCTGGCACCCACTTACAGTCTTCTCTTACCCGCCCACAGGGAGAGAGAGAGAGAGAGAGCCTGCATGTGGCCTGGATTGATGTGGCCAGGCTTGAGCCTTAAATGGAATCTCTTTACTTTTCTAACTTCGGGGTCCTGTGAGAGTCGTCCTTGCCCCACATGCACCATCGAGTTCTTTTCTGCATAGTATTCCATTGAACACGTGCCAGAATGTATGTTCTGCATCGAAGGGCCTCTGGGTGGCTGCGTGGGTAGTTATCACGGGACTTGTATCTCCTGTCATGTTGCCGTAGACTCAGGAATACAGTCCCCTCTGTTCGCTCCCATTTTTTTTTAAATTAAATTTATTTGTGTGTAGAAGAATCGCGCTCTTGCCATGTCTTCCATGGGATGATCAGAGGACACTGTCTCTGTTTTGTGGGGCCACAGGGATTTTGCCAGGCCCTCATCTTAATAGCCACCTCCTCCCTTCTTTTGAGACAGGGCCCTTTTCTGTGGTTCTGACTGCTCTGGAACTCACTATGTAGCCAAAACTGGCTTTGAACATTTAGAAATACCCCACTCCCGTAATGCTAGGATGTTGGCATCCTGCCTGGGAGACGGTTATGTTTTACTTTGGCACTGAGGGTGGAGCTCAAGAGGAGTGGGTAGACAGGTGCTCTACACATCTCCACATCTTTAAACTTGTTTGTTTTGTTTTGTTTTTTTCAAGACGGTTTCTCTATGTAGCCCTGGCTGTCCTGGAACTTAGAGACCAGGCTAGCCTTGAACTCACAGAGCTCTGCCTGCCTCTGCCTCCAGAGTACTGGGATTAAAGGTGTGGGTCACCACTTAAGTGTTTATGACACAGTCATTGCACATCCTGGTAGACTTCCTGAGGACAGTTTTGATCTATGTGCGTCCCTTGCTTTGACGTCTCTCCTGTATCTACCGTCTTCTTCCTTGACTGTTCATCCTTGCTTCAGGCCAGTGTTGTTTCTGTTTATTTGAGAGGGCCTGCACGTTAGTGTCATCGGGCTTTGTCTTAAATGAACTCCCAATAGCTTTGACCGGACAGGTCTCTTCCCACGTGACTCCCTGGGCGCATCCTGACCTTTGCCCCAGATCTCCCCTGTCAGTCTCCTTCCAAAGTCCTCCCCACTTCCTACACTGAGTGCTACCATGCTCAAGATGGAGCCGTTCAGGGCTTCTCCCCAGTACTGAGATCCCCCAGGCTGGCAGGCTCTGAGGGACATCCGTAGGCACAGGTGCCCATCTACCGCTCTGGGTTCTGCTGTCTGAAGAACGCCTTGAACTTGACACCTAACTCATTAAACTTGTGTTCACCCAGCCCTGGCTCTCCGAGGACCCTCCGCCTTTCTCTTCTTTCATCCTCTTCCTCCTCCATCAAGGCAAACCTTGTAACCCAGCTTTTGCTTTTCCTTCCTCCTTCCCCCTCCCCCCTTTCCTTCCTCTTCTTCCTTTCTTTCTTTTTCCTCCTCCTCCTCTTCCTTTCTCTCTCTTTCTCCCCCACCCCCCCCAAGTTCCCCTCTCCAGCCTTGGCCATCCTGGAGCTCCATCTGTAGACCAGGCTGGCCTCAAACTCAGAGATCCGCCTGCCTTTGCCTCCCGAGTGCTGGGATTAAAGGCATGGGTCAGCACCACTATTTGGCTGTTTTTGTTTTTGACACACAGTCTCATTCTATGACATAGGCTTGAACTCCCATCAGCTCTGCATCAGCCTTCCAAGTGCTGGATTGCAGACTTGAGTCACTTACTAACCTAGCGTTGGTCTCAGTGCCCTGCTCTGTCCTCTGCTCTGTCCCCTGGCTCTCCTCTTTCTCTCTCTCCTCATCCAGAACCTACAGTAATGCCCCTGCTACCTAAGTCAAGCCCTCTGTGTGTCACGTGGTCCTTCTTCCTCCAGGTGCCCCAGCCAGACCAACATCTTTGTCTCCTGCCCCCACCCATCCTTTGTAAAGGCCAGCGGGCTTGTCTTCTCCCTTGCTGCAGGGCCTGTTCAAATGTCATCTTGGCCGGCCCTGATTACCTACCACCGGGCTTCCTGTTGTTTTCACCTGCTCCCGCCCTCACAGCCCAGCCGCCTCAGCTAGCCTTGATCCTGTTTGAGGTGCAGGCTTCTGAAGGGTAGGGACTTGGTCCTATCCACTGCCACCTTCTGGCAGGAAACCAGAGACCGACCAGCAAATGACAAGCTCTTGAAGGACCAGAGGTGGCTCCTAGTGTGGCTTTGGGAGTGTAGCTCACGAAGGCTCTTTGCCCATGTTTATGAGCCTGGGATTTATATATATGTCGATAGAAGGCACGGTGAGAGTATCTGGATGACTAACATTGTGCATTACTGAGTTTCCAAAGCCGTGCCATTGGATGCTGTGCCCACAGGTTCCCGTTCAGCCGCCCGGAGCTGCTGAGGAAGTGGGTGCTCAACATTGGCCGGGCTGACTTCAAGCCCAAGCAGCACACCGTCATCTGCTCTGAGCACTTCAGACCCGAGTGCTTCAGCGCCTTCGGGAACCGCAAGAACCTGAAGCACAATGCTGTGCCCACGGTGTTCGCCTTTGAGAACCCCACACAGGTAGGTGCTGCTCTGACATCCAGTCAGCGGGTCTGTATGTGCGTCGAGAGGAGAGCTTAAACAGGTTTGCAGTTGGACTGAGGATGTAGCTCATTTGGTAGAGTGCTGGCCTAGCATGCAAGAAGCCCTGGGTTTGCCATGTGGTGGTGGCGCACTTTTTTAATCCCAGTACCTGGGAGACAGAGGCGGGTGGGTTACTGAGTTCGAAGCCAGCCTGGTTTATAAGGTGAGTTCCAGAGCAGCCAGGACCACACAGACAAACCCTGTCTCAAAAAACAAAACAAAACAAAACACCAGGATAAGACCCTGCTAGAAAGAAAGGAAAAAAAAGGAAATTTAAAGCCCCTTTAAAATTAATCATGGGTGCTGGGCAGTGGTGGCACACACCTTTAATCCCAGCACTTGGGAGGCAGAGGCAGGAGGATTTCTGAGTTTGAGGCCAGCCTGGTCTACAGAGTGAGTTCCAGGACAGCCAGGGCTACACAGAGAAACCCTGTCTTGAAAAACAACAACAACAAAAAGTTAATCATATGTGTTGAAGACTGTTTTTTTTTTTTTTTTTTTTTTTTTTTTGGCAGAGGTGGTTGTCTAGCATGCACAAAGCTCTGGGTTTGGTTCCTAACACTACATACGTGGGCTGTAGCTGTGTGCAATCCTGGTGCTCCAGAGGTGGAAGCAGGAAGATCAAATACTCAGTCAGCCTTGGGGTCTGAGGCTAGTCTAAAGTATATGAGATCCTGTCTCAGGACAAACAAGAAAGCCAGGTGTATGCCCATAATCTCATCTCTTAGAAGGCAGAGGCAGGAAGATTGCCAAAGATTCCAGCCTGCAGCACATAGTGTGTCCTAGGCCTTGTTTGTAGATATAGTGCAGTGTGACCGCTCTTAGTGGGGTGATGGAAGAACAGGGACGGGGCTGAAAGAGGTCTGAGATCCCCAGTTTAACTTCACAGCCCTCAGTTGCCCGCCCCCCCCCCCCCAACATTGAATTGGTGAGAAGCTGCAGATGGCCGCTGTGGCCACTGTGGTCACGGTGGCAGGGACTTTGGATCTGCTTCGAACTTTTCCATCACATGGCGCTGTAGGGCAAACGTCCATTGAGAGTGGTTACCAGGCTTCAGGGGGATGCAGTTGATTCTGGTCCTTGGCGCTGTGGGGACCTGTCTGGGTGCCACTGCCCCAGGATTTGGGGACATATCTAGTGAATCTAGTGTGAGCAAAGCAGGATTCAGTCAGTATTGTTAGGTGTGCCCCGCTTTATCTGAGCAAGGTGCCCTTAGGCCACTGCTTGGTCCATGATTAGGTTCCACTGTGTCCTGCTGAACCAGAGCTATGTCTTGAATTGGTATGGGAGAGAAGAGATACCTCCTAAGAGAGCTGAGTGCACCAGGGCTCTCCACACATCCCAGAGTGCTGAGTTGTGGCGGCTTCCTGGTCAGGCAGTGCTCACAAGCTTGAGTCTGGTGAAAGGTGAGGATACTCCCTGGAGACAGCAGGGTTGTGAGTTCAGGGTGCTTTCCCCAGGGAAGCTGTGGCCTCAGGCTTCCTCCTCCTGCCGTGAGAGCTCAGTGTATCACAGGCTGGAGACTTGGACTCATGGGAGGGAGGGAGAGGCGGGCTCTTGACTATAGAGACACAGGGCAGGGCCAGAGCCCCTGTGCAGGGGGATTACTCAGGGAAGGACAGCGGCAGCTGTAGGATCCGGTGTCTGCCAGCTCAGCCAGCCTGACTCCGCCTGCTGTTCCCAGGTCTGCCCTGAGGTGGGGGCTGGTGAGGACAGCTCAGGGAAGAACATGGACTCCACACTGGAAGAACTTCAGCCTCCAAACACAGAAGGCCCTATGCAACAGGTAAGACCCTGGGTACGAGGTGGTCTCAGAGGGACATATTTTGCTGCAAACAAAATGAAGTGCCCCAGAGGACCTAACAGAACAGGAACATCGGGATAAGTAAGCCCACCATGACAGCTCATCAGGATGTCAGAAGGGGAAATGGGCTAGGCCAAACCTGAAGGGTAATGGGCAGCTGTGGCCCTGGCTCGTGCCTTCCTGCTGAGGACACTCGGCTCTTCCTCAGCACTCACTGACCTCTGTCCTCAGGTCTTAGCAGATCGAGAAGCAATGGAGGCCATGGAGACCGCTGGCCTGCCCGCCAACCCTCTGGGGTTGAAAAGGCCCCTTCCGGGACAGCCGTCCGATCACAGCTATGCCCTTTTGGACTTGGATACCCTCAAAAAAAAACTCTTCCTCACGCTGAAGGAAAACAAGAGGCTTCGGAAGCGCCTGAAAGCCCAGAGGCTGCTGTTGCGGAGGACATGTGGCCGTCTGAGAGCCTACAGAGAGGGACAGCGGGGACAGAGGGGTCCACGTGCCAGACGGCCGGCACAGGGAAGCTGAGTGAGCAGGCTCTGGGATGTGTGTGTGGCGGGGTGGCGTCACCCTAGCAGGAACTTCCACTCATTGCTGATGCTGCAAGGTGCCTTGGTGGTGCGGGGTGGGACGCCGTGACAGGCAGTTGTCAGGTGGGGGTTGGGGGGGGGCCCAAGCTCTGTGGAGTGAGATGCAGTCTCAGGTCTCCTAGGCTGAGGCTGTCAGCTGTGGGACAAATGCGAGCTGTCACAACCCTGTCAGAGATACTCCCCAAGGGAGAGGTGGTCGTTCTTACAGCCTGCGGGGTCCTGTCTCCCCATAGCAGCCATTCTGATGGTCGTCAGGGCAACGGTTCCCCATCAGCCTGTATTTCTGAGTGACGACTTTTCTGCCTGGTTTGTGTGAATCTGGAATAAATCCTTTGAAGTCTCCATGCAGGTTGTCCCCTTGCTGCTTAGAACTCTCTGCCCCATAAAGGACAGACAGGGTGTGACTACCTTGACTATAGAACTGACTTAAACACAGGTGGGGTTTGGGCTGCTGCACTGATGCGGGCGGCCCAGTGGTTGAGCACTTGCTATTGCAGAGGACCCGGGTTCAGTTCCCAGCTCTTACACGGTGACCCGTAACCACCCATAGCTCTACCTCTAGGGGATCCTATGCATTCTTTGGACCTCTGGGGGCACCACGGAAACACACAGTACACACAAAGAATATTCAAAAAGTCTGTGACTAGAGGCACACCTCTAACTCAGGCACTCAGGAGGCTATGTCAGGAGGACCATAAACCTCATAAGCCAGACTGCTTCAAATGCAAACGGAATCTTAGGTCTGATTTCCTTATCGTGGGGTCCTGTGTCTCAGGTAGACAGTGGTCTAAGCTAACACAGGGACGGGGAAGCACCTGGCGCGTGGCGGCTCACTGTCCCTTGGTAACACGCACAGATGGACAGAAGCGGCCTCAGCTTTTAGGTCAGCTTTATTGTTGAGCAGTGCTGCCACAGTCAGCTTCAGACAGAAGGGGCAGCAGTGCCCAGGGAGCCACAGGGCACTGAGGCAGGGCTCATGCAATGGTACACACTGCAGCCAGTCTGTGGGGCAACAAAACATCCTCAAAAAAAAAAAAAAAAAGAAAAAAAATTAAAGAGTTGAACTGCTTTTAGAAACCGAAGGGTCTCGAGAACGGCTGAGGCAATGCCTGCATTCAGCAGTTACCTCTGTGGGGCAACACCTGCTCAGAGTGTAGAGCTTGCTGTAACATCCAGCAAGTGTGCACCAGAAGGAGTCTGAGAGCAGACTCCCTAAAGGGACCCTGAGGCCTGGCAGGCAACAGCGCCACCTGCTGGGAACCCACTGGAAGTGCAGGTGCCTGGGCCAGCCCTGGATCCATAGCCAGTGTCTGGCAGGTTCATGCCTGGCTCCACTCCTTCCTTACAAAGGTCCCCTCCTTCCAAAACCACTCTAGAGGAGCGTGTCCTGAAGGCAGGACAGGTGTCTCGTGTGGGGTGAAGGGTCCACCGGCAGCAGGGCCTCTTCTCTTAGCAATATGGGCAGTGGGCCTGGACAGTGCACCTTGGGACTTGGGGTCTCCCCTATCTGTTCCAAGCCAGGGCCTGGAGGAATGATTTGAGAAGCTGTAAAGGTGGGAAGAAAAGAGACTAGTTTCCAAACCCGTTGTTCTCAGATAAAAAGCAGTTTTATAAACCCGCAGTCCTCTCCAGTCCATTCAGTGACGCTTCAGAAGAGAGAGGTGGCTTGTGGGAAGTCTACTGAGCAGCACATGACACACCTTCCTTTCTTTCCATGTTTCCCACGAGCAGCGTGGGCTTCAGGAAGAGCAGTCCCATGTGTGAGGGCAGAATGTTCCAAATACGTCCAGAGAGCTGCTGTGTACAGCCACGTATGAGGAGGGCCAGGGGTGTGACCTCAAGAGTCAGCTCAGGCCCTGCCCTCCAGGAACATGATCCTTGGGGAAAGACATGGCCGTGCTGTGGTCTGGCCAGGAAGCTCCTCAGTCCTACCCACAGCACCATGAAGCACGTCCCTTCACATAATTGATACAGTGCCACCTTCTGGAGAAATAAACTAAAAACATCTCATGTCTGGGTTTTCCCTGCTTCCAAATTTGTAGCCTCCTAGGAAAAGGTTTTCGTAGCCTCTTTCCTCAAGGTTCCCAAGTGGTTTACCCGTCTGTGTCGATCCTGTGAGCTGGGAAAGAAAAGAACAAGTCAGGCTAGCAAACTGCCAGGGGAGGCTCCTCCACCACCTCCTGCAGTCCCTGGCGAGGCTAGGAGCCCCCGCCGCCGCTGCTGCTGCTCCTCAAGTTTTGGCCCTGGCTGGCCTGGATCTCAGAGATCGCCAGCCCCTGCCCAGAATGCCACCACACTCAACTTTAAGCAACTGCTTCTGTGCTCAGGAAAAAGGGTGTCACTTCTACAGAGTCACTCACAGCTATGGCCAGGTACCACATCTCCCAACCCCCTCTTAAAGTTTTTGTGTATGGTGTTCTGTCCGAACGAACCACACACACGCTTGGTGCCACGGTCAGAAGATGGCATCAGATCCTGAACCTGGAGTTACAGACGGTTGTGAGTGACCACGTGGGCACTGGGAACTAAACCTGTGTTTTCTGCAAAAGCAACATATGCTCTGAACTGCTGAGCCATGTCTGGCCGTTTTCTTTCTTTTTCTTTGGGTCTTACTGTGTAGCCCAGGCTGACTTAGAATCCATGTAGCTCGGCGTCTTGGGTGCTCAGAGGGTCACACCTAGCCAAGAGTGTGCTCCAAACACACCGGCTCCAGCCAAGTCTGAGCCAAAGAATCTCTGTGTCTTCGGGACCCCAGGAGCTGTGACCTCACACACTTAGATGACAGGGCTGGTGGCAGAGCAGGAGGCAGTTACTTACACTGCTTTGGTATCCGCAGGGCCTCACTGTCAGGCACCATGACCTGGTGGAGCACGCCTCGGAACTGGTACAGCACGCGCAGGCTCTTCTCCTCCCCAACACATGGGTCATAGAACCCCGGCAGCCCGGCCTGCACACAAACAGAGGGTCAGGTCAGGCCCGAGCCCTGCACCACTCCCCTCTGCCACCGGCTGCGCACAGCCTGGATGAGGACACACTATGGAGCCTGACGAAAGAACGAGAATTTAGTTTACTTAGGAAGTGCCAGACTGGTCCTTGAGCCCCTTGCTCAGTCCAGCCTGAAGCCTGCCAGACATGGCACCCACAGCCTCTTTCTGGAACCCAGCAGACAAAGGAAATACAAGTACAGGAAGGCTTTGCCGGATGTTTGCTGACACCTGGCAGCTCAGTGGCTCCTGCAGAGAAGCTCTCCAGGCACTGAGGCCTGTCTGTCCTTGTCACATGGATGGCTCTCGATCCTGGGAGCAGGTGGCTGAGGTGAGCTGCTGCTGTACCTTGGAGGCTTCAGTGAGGATGAGCTTGGAGTCCTTCACCAGGCACTGCAGGGGCACGGTCACGTCAATCACCTTCGCCTTCTCGTTCTTCCTGCTCTTGTCATTCACAAACTTTCCGTACCAGGCATTCACGATGATAAGCCCTAGGGACAGAGCAGCAGGGGCTGACACAGGCCATCTTGACATACCCCTCTGCCGATCTGAGAACCCCAGTGCCTGGCCCGGCCCCGCGAGGGCACACCCGCCTTCTCACCCATCCGGGATTCCTCGGCTTCTATTATTCTCCGGACAGACTCCTGCATCAGCCGAACCTAAGAGAGAAGACAGTGGGGACCGGGCTTGTTTTGGTCAAAGCACGGTAAAAATCCAGCTGTGTCCCTGTCAGGACGTCCAGGCAAGGAGCCAAGGGAAAGGGGCAAAGGGGCAAACGCTGTGGGCTCAGCTCAGCCTTCAGAGGGTTGGAGCCCTGAGACCTATTCGAGATGTTGTTAGAGAGTCACCTAACAAGGCACGACCCCACTTGACGCCAGCAGAGGAGAGACAGTGCCTTTCTTTCTCCTCAGTGATTCTGTACATGCAGGAGATGGATGAGAAATTACTGCAAACATGGTCAGAGTTTAAGAATAAAGAGACACGCCGGGTGGTGGTGGTGCACGCCTTTAATCCCAGCACTTGGGAGGCAGAGGCAGGCGGATTTCTGAGTTCGAGGCCAGCCAGGGCTACACAGAGAAACCCTGTCTCGAAAAACCAAACCAAAAAAGAAAAAAGAAAAAAAAAAAAAAAAAAAGAATAAAGAGACACATAGTGATGAACTCAAGGCTAACCTGGGCTACATATTAATTATGGTGTCATCTATGATACATTGTGAGATCCTGCCTCAAAATACACTTCGAATGAACAGCTGGACCCGTGTTCTCTGTGGAGTCACTCAGCTGGGCAGGGGCGTGTGCTGCCCCATCAATGGCACAGTTGGCATGGCATGGGACATGCACGGCCCACGCGGTCTCTGTGTCACAGCACCCATGGCACCTGGCATTAAGCCATGAGCTCCTGCCCCTTTACTCCCGTAATACAGAGCACAAGGAGGAGACCAGGGCCATAGGCGCCCTGCTACAGAGCCGAGCTGGGACTGCGGAGTTTGTCCACCTCAGGAAACAGACTGCAGTCTCCAGAGCGTGCCCCTCAGACACGGAAGCTCAGGCGTGAGGGTGTCAGTTAAGTAAAGCCCCGGGCTCTGTCTGGGGTCACAGCCCCAGCTTCAGTAGGATGGGCTAGGAGGGTGTGGAGGTTTGCCCTTGCCCTGTGCTCTGTGTAGTGGTGTGGGACACTCACAGCAGCCTCTGCCTCTTGCTTCTTCTGCAGGATGTCGCTGGCCGTGTTCTCTCTCTGCTTTTCCAGTTCCCTTAAAGAAGCAACCACAAGTCACTACAGTGAGCGGACTGCGCCCCCTGCTGGACTGAGCCCAGAGAGCAGCCTGTGATCTTAACTGACACTTCCAAAACAACCCCAGGCTAGACTATGCATCTTCCTTTAGCTTGAGATGGCCTTCCCTGTCTACCTCCTTGATGGAGAGTCCTGAACTGCTGTCTCCTTGGGAGACAGCTCAGGTAAGCAGGGGTGATTCGGACTACTATGGTTGTACATAAATACCTGTTCCGACAGACAGCAAAGGTCAGCCCACACGGTCGTGTCAGTGACCTGATGGAGCATACTCTTCACTCTTGGTCTTAAATATCCAAACAACAGGGTCCCTACATTGTAGTACCTCGGTCACAGGCAGCCAGAGGGTACCCTGTCCCTCCTCTCAAGCTTAGCATTTCTGAGCTTAACAAAGGGCCCCTCTCTCCATTTTCTGAGAGATGCTTAGACTGTTTTTGGCTCAGAGGGCTCCCTACAAACAACTGCGAAGCCGGCTGCTCTGTACAGCACAGAACTGGTCCATTCCAGTTCAAGCTCAGTGACAGGCACCATGTCTACAATTAAAGAGAGGGAGAGAGCATTTCTGCTGTCCTGTGTAGAGCCTCCATCTAGTCACTTCTGAAAGTAGGGTTGGCTGGCCAGGGAGGGGAGCTCAGTTCCCTGCACCTGCTGCAGTTGGCTGACTAGGACCTTTCAGGACCCAGGCGCCATGCCAAGCACTTTCTGGGCATTAACGTGTCACATTTTCCCAGTTCCCTCTCCAGTGCAGAAGAGACGGAGGTGCGGGATTTCCATGTAAAGCTCACCTCTCTTTCTGCGCCCTGAGGTACGGTCTGATGATCAACCGATGAACTGCCAAGTACACGACCAGCGGCCCCACGGTGGCGTAGAACACAGCGCTGGGCAGCAGCTGGTCCGTCAGGTGGATGGGGAAGAAGTATGTTTGACTGGCCCTGTTCAGCCTGGGAGGACACAAGAGCAAACCCCACAGGATGGGTCAGATCTTCCAGGGAGGAGAGCTGGGGTCTCTTAACAACCAGTCCACCAGGTCCAAGGCTGAGCTGAGTGTGTGTGATACTTAACTGGTGTCAAAGGCCTCAGAGGAGAGGGAAGCAGTCCCAGAGACAGCCCGTGTCAGTGAGTGAGGTGTTTCAAACAAGTCAAGGACTTCAGAAGGCGCCGGATTAAACTGGTAAGATGGAGACTATGAGGGGCTGCACAGTTGTAACCATGTTTATTAGGAAGGCGTCAAGCCTGGCACGGTGATTCACACCATTAAGCCCAGCCACGGGGATGCAGAGGCCTTGGGTCTTTGCGAGTTTGGGATTGGCATGGTTTATCTAATGAGACCCTGTCTTAAAAAAGATGGAGAGGACACGCTGCCAGTAGGCAGGTGACAGAAACAGACCAACACTGAGAAATCTCAGACTTACACACTCCTTGAAACACGGTCAACAAAACAGCAAAGTTAACAGAAGGTGATATAGAAAAGGTCTGTTTATGAAAAATTAAATTCATTTAGATTTGAGTTCTACCCCCAAGACTCCTATTGTCCACACAGATACTTGGAAATCTGAGCTCTACCACACGCAGGTCAAGGGTGAGGGACGTGTGGCCCACACAGACAGTTCATGGTAGAGGTGGCTTAGCAGTTAAGACAGGCGTGGAGGTCTTCTTCCAAGTTCAGTTCCCAGCAACCACAGTTGGAGGCTTGGAGCTGCCCAGCTCCAGGGGATATGACACCCCTGGCCTCCAAGAAACCTTGTACTCCTAAATAGAGCCACACTCATACACATAATTAAAAACAATAAATCTTTTAAAAGTTCAGTTTGGACAGTTTAATATTATCACAGGAAACAGGGGACAGCCTCTCCCTGGGAATTCGCAGAAGTGCTCCGATCAAGCCCAGCTCTGAATACAGTGTCTGAGCTGTCTCCGTGGCTCGTCAGAGCTTTCAATTCAGACGAAGAGGGCTGGAATACACAAAACCTGACTACTAGGTCCCGGGAATCCCAGCTGAGATATAAAATGGTAGTGTTTCTGCAAAAATCTTCTATTTGACTTATGTGCATAGTGTTTCGCCTGCACTGTGTCTGCACAGTTGCACGCAGAACCTGGAGAGGCCAGAAGGAGGAAGCTGGAGTCACTGAAACTTGAATTATAAAGTTTAGTCCCCATGCCTTTTATTTTTGGTGGACACCTGGGTATGGAGGTCAGAGACAACTTCAGGGTCATTCCTAAGGAGGCGCTCCCCTCCTCTTTTCCTTAGACAATATCTCTCATGGCCTGGAAGGTGGCTAGCAGGCTAGGGTAGTCTGTCTCTACTGTCCCAACACTAGATTGCAGCATATGCTGTCACACTGGACTGTTCACATGGGTTCCGGGGGATCAAGCACCTTACTGACAGTCATCTTCCAGGCTTGCTGATGCTAGGACTGAAGACGTGACTGCCTGACATAAATGCCGCACAAACAGCTGTATACTGCACTGTCTGCATCTGTACAACTCTTCCTCCGTCACTCCTGACCCCAGCCGGCCTAAGCCCACACACGTGGTTATCCACGGGCACGAGAGGACACTGCGTACAGCTAGATATTTCAGAAGTAGGCCAACACGGGGCTCTTGGGTGACGAGGTTGGAAATACAGCACAGCCATTCCCGGGGATTCACGGGGCATGGGTTCTAGGGCTCTATCTAGATATCGATGGTACTAAAGACATGAGCCACACGGGGAAGAGCCCACACAGACAAGGACTGAGTCCCACAGAGTTGCCTGTTTGGGAGACAGACACTAAGGCAGAAGAATGTGGAGAGCTACCCTGCCCCCTGCATGCAAAGGAAGATTCCAGGTGGCCAAGACTACCTCCGGAGAGGGCTGGGAAGAGGCCTAACTGCAGTACAACAGACAACTGAGCGAACCAGGAAGCTAGAAGTGCACACGTCGGAAATCTCAATACTGAGGTCGCTCAAACAGGAGGATCCCAAGTTTGAGTTTCAGGCTAGCCTTTGCTATGTGACTATCTCAAACAAAACATCCAAACCCTAGGCAAACCCACATGGCATGACTCAAGAACTGAGCAGCATGGAGAAAGGGGTTGTGTTGGCATGCTGTCAGACAAGGTGTCTGATGCTGCAGATGCCCAGGGTGGCACTGGACAGGCACAGGGCAAGCCACCGGGCAGGTTTGGTGAGGGCCCAGTAGTCGTGTATCACCAGAGAAGGCGGATACTAGGCCTCCACTAACTTGCTGCCATGTCTGTGCTCCCCTGGCCTCTGCTCACATAGCCCAGACAGAAGCAATGGCATGCTTAAGAATTAATTAAACCCTGGCCTCTGCCCACATAGCCCAGACAGAAGCAATGGCATACTCGAGAATTAAACCCCATGCCCCTGGTCAGCATGGGTGAGGCTCAACTTACTTGACTTTGAGAGACACACCCTGAGGGACGCCAATGCTCACAGCTGCACCCAAGACACTGTGTCGGGAGATCTTCCTCTCAGCTCCATACTCCACGATTGTCCCAAAGAAGCCTGCCCTGCGGGGACAGAACATGATGCTGGCAGTTTCCCTCCTGCCCACCAGCTTGCTGAGTCCCTATACCCCCTCCCTAATCCACACCAGGCATGGAAGCAGACCCATGATGCTCCTGGGGTAACAGCAGACCTGGGAGACCCTGGAGGGTCTGTAACAGTAGGGCCCCTCAGCACTGGCCATACAGCAGAACATCCCACCCAGCAGGAGGCAAGCAGGGCACCACATGTGAGAATGACCTGCAGATGCCAATCACAGCTCCTCCCCGAGAGCTCTCCACAGAGCTGGGCCACCCGTGCCAGCAAGGCCGAGACTTACTTGAGGGACCCTTTCACTCGTGTCTGGTCGTCATCCTGGAACTTGTGCTGATAACTGATGAGTGCAAAGGAGTGAGGGATCCCCAGCTGGAGAGGAGTAAAGCATGTAGGGTCAGCCTCCCCGTGTGGAAGCCGATGCCTAGCTGTCTGCCCCGCTGGGCATGTGGGTCCAGCCTCCCCCGTGTGGAAGCCGATGCCTAGCTGTCTGCCCCACTGGGCATGTGGGTCCAGCCTCCCTGTGTAGAAGCTGATGCCTAGCTGTCTGCCCCGCTGGGCATCTGCAGGCAGGGAGCTACTCAGCCACTATCTGTGTAATGAATCCTGGGCGATGTCAGAAATCTGCCACTGTATGATCTCACACAACTAAGGAACCAGAGACACTATTGGGTGACACAGTCTTAACCTGAAATCCATCATAGGCACGAATGTTACAAGGCACAACTACAAAACCCTGAGATTTCTAGTCAGAGTACAGTATATCAGCCTCTCATAAAAACCTCTGGCAAAGCCGGGCAGTGGTGGTGCTCGCCTTTAATCCCAGCACTTGGGAGGCAGAGGCAGGCAGATTTCTGAGTTTGAGGCCAGCCTGGTCTACAGAGTGAGTTCCAGGACAGCCAGGGCTGCACAGAGAAACCCTGTCTTGAAAAAAAACAAAACAAAACAAAAATAGTAATAAAATAAATAAATAAAAAAACCCAAGTTATTAAAAATAAATAAATAAAAAAAAAACCAAACCAAAACAAAACAAAAAAACCTCTGTCAACAGTGAGCTTGTGCAGCCAGGAGGGACTGAGGGGCGTTCACTCTCAGAGATCTTCTTCTCATCGGCCTCTCTACACCCCCGGCACCCCAAGTACCCAAGAGCACCATTCTGATACAAGGAAACGATCTGAACACATCCACCTGGGTGCCTGAGATGGAGATATTCTCCTTCAACACTAGAGGCTGGTCACTGCAGGGCGTGGCCCAGAGCTGCCCCTCAGGGCTGAGAAGCATGAGCAGCCACCCCCTTGACTCGAGACTGCAGCTCCTCTATTCACTCACCTGCAAGGCCACAGTGAAGTGGCAGGTCTTAGTGTCCCGGACGATGCTAGTGTTCATGGCTGACTGGATACCCCAGCGCCACTGCAGGTAGCCCACAGTGTTCTTGTCCAGGTTCCGAGCTAGAACAGTGGTAAGGCCAGGCCGGATTCCACGGGATGAAAACTGCAGAGCACAGTTTGTCGTCACAAAGCTGAGGGGACACAGACAGAAAGGGTCCAGCTGTCGTGGGCTTTTACCTCTTCTTTCGGGGTCTCTCATTAGGCTGAACATCTCTCTAAGCCAGGAGAGCAGCAGCACAAGGCATAGGAAGCACAAGTCTTCTAGGATCGTCCCCAGGGACCCTCACTCCCCGTCATCCACTGTCAGAGCCCCTAAATGTTGTGTGCTGAGCTCTCAGAAGGCAGTCCTGGGGCTCAGACAGGGATCCTGAAGCTGCTGAACTGGAGCATGGACAGCCTCCAAGTGACATCAACACAAGCACAGAGGAGAGCCACCCACATCAACCACATGCCACACTAAGTCACAAGTCCTGGGTGCAACTCTAGCGTGTGTGCGTGTGTGTACGTTATGTGTGAATGTTTTGTCTACACTGTGTGTACCACACGCCTGCCTGTTCAGTCCTCTGGACCTGGGTTGCAGACAACTGTGAGCTGCTATGTGGGTGTGGGGACTCAAACTCGAGTCCTCCTCAAGGGCAACCAGTGCTCCTAACTGCTGAGCTGTTTCTCTACAGACCTTCAATTTTTAAAACCTGCCCAAGCGCTCCTGCCATTGATCCCTGCTGGGGACTAGTTAACTGAAATGACAGAAAAGCAGCTTCCCAGGAAGGAACCTGGACAAAGGAAGAGCAGCCCCACCTTCCGTTCAACAAGATGTTTCAACAGTGAGGAATGAAGTCCCACAACAGCTGCTGTTCAGACACAGCCCAGCTTTCCCTGCGCAGCTTACACAGTCTTGTCACTCCTCTCTGGAGACAACACTGTGCCATGAAGGTGACGATACACTAACATTTTTTTTTTCTTTAAAGATTTCTGTATTTATTTTATGTATGTGAGTACACTGTAGCTGTCTTCAGACACACACCAGAAGAGGGCATCGGATCCCTTTACGATGGTTATGAGCCACCATGTGGTTATCAGGATTAGAACTCAGGTCCTCTGGAAGAGCAGTCAGTGCTCTAACCGCTGAGCCACCTCTCCAGCACTAACTTCATCATTATTCCTCTATATTCCCTCCCAGGGGCTTCCCTCAGCTAAAAGAGTAAGAGCCGATCCTCAGTCTCTACAGGACCCAGCCCACTGTCTGCCATCTGTTTGAAATGTTTGCCATGTTCTGCTTCTCCCAATATGAGGTAGGGCTCCAGCTGAGAGAGTGAAACAGCTGGAGTTCCTAGAGTCCCAAGAGAAGCTCAGAGAAGCCAAGAGACACAGGAATGTGGCCCTAGGCTTACTAGATTTAGGGTTTGACCCTGTCCCAAAGAGAGGAAAACAATCTGGTGGGTAGATAAGTTAGACACTGGACAGAGAGGGAGAGCATGGCACAGGGCTGCTCTGGGGGCAGGGTCTCACGTAACCCGCAGGCTGGCTCTGGACTCTCAAATGCTGGATTACAGGCATTCACAACCATGTTTGCCTTTCCCGTTTTCTAAGACAGGGTCCATAGGTCCACACTGTCTCAAATCTGTAATGCTCCTGCAGCAAGTCCACAGCAGTGGGGATCATGGGCACACACCACTAAACTTGACCTTACCCAGACACTCAATGTAGGAGGAGCTAAGGTGGGAGGAGTAAGGAGAGGAAGAGGAGGAGCTGGGCGAGGAAGAGAAAAAGGAAGAGGAGGAGCTAGAGAGGGCAGGGATGTAGGAGGATGGAGAACCACACAGGTATGGAGAGCACTTGTGGGGAACAACTTAGAAACTTATAATTAGGTTAGCT